TTTTTCTTTTTTTTTTTCTTTTTTCTTTTTTTCTTTTTGTGTTAATAAAAATAAGAAATCGAAGGAAGTTCGATTTATTAGATTTTATTCGCCTCGGTGACCGTGAAACCTTTCGTAATCAAACCAAACTTAAGGCTTTTGTACTTTATCTGGCTTCTGTGATGTCCGGTGGTCCAGTTCGTTCGACATTTCGTCACAACTCACGTGCTTGGCACGCGAGGAATGTCCGCTAGTTCTTTATCGTACTTACGTAGTATCTTTCTCTCTTTCTCTTTTTCTCTTTCTCTTTTTTTCTTAGTGAAAGAACTCGGAGCTCGTTGTGAGAAGGGAAAAGAGAAAAAATATAAGAGTACAAAAAAGAAACGATGTCGTTTGACATTGCTTTTAAAGCACGCTACCAATGCCTTTTTTAATCTTCCTTTTGTCTATCGTTAGACAACGAAAGCTTTCAAAGGGTATGAACTTACTATACTTCGAGTTCGATGATCCTCGAATGAAAAATTTCATTAACGTGTCTCTACGAACTAATTACTTATCCTTCTTTTTTTTTTTTTTTTTTTTATTTCTCTTCTTTTTGTCCATTCTTGTTTCTCTTTTCTCTTTTCCTATTCTTTCCTTCTTTCTTTCTCAATGAAAAGTAAAATCCCCCTCTCCCAAAGATAAAAAAAAATCTTTGCGTTAAAAGGAAAATATAAAGAAAATTATTTTCATGAGTTATTTTAATCAAGATATTAATAAGATTCTTTTATAAAAGCACCAGCATCATTTGGATTAGAATCGAAAGGAACAGTCACGACGTTCGTTATCTTTTTCATACATTTATAACACGTATACGTAATATAATAGTATCGTATACTCTTACAGGAAAGAGGAACGTACGCGTTATCACATTGATATCGTATCGAACGAAGAATGTTGCGGTGTCGGAGATGCTTTCCAACGTGTTACTATTTCGATTGAAAATCATTGTATGTATACATATAAACTGTGGCTTCATTAATTATCTTATTATAACGATTGGAAAGATCGACTTCTCTTTTTTTTTCTTTTTCCATGATAACCGTCTAATTTTTTCTTTCACGCCTAATTTTTTTTTTTTTTTTTTTATCAATTCGTATAACGGAGATTCTTTTGTACTTCGCGAAGAAAATTTTCAATGGAACTTTTTCATTTTCTCTTTTTTCTTTTGAAGATTTATCTTTTTTCTTCTTCTTCTTCTTCTTTCTTGTTCTTTTTGTTGTTGTTATTGTTTTCTTTATTTTAATTAAGAAAAACTGTTGCCATGTCTCTTTCTCTCTTTCATATTATATATATATCTGTTTTTCTTCATGGTAATCAAGTTGCTTGTTTCGTCTGGTAAAAAAAAAAAAAAAAAAAGAAAACAACGAAAAAAAAGGAAAAATAAAAAGGAGAAAAGAAGAAATTCGTCTTTTTCATCGATCCTCTCGTGATCTCACGTCCGTAATTAGATTTTCTGGTATCGATTGAGAACAGTTTGCGCTTACATCGATGAGGCACGAGCATTCTAATAAAAAGAGAGGATAACTAAAGGCTGGAGAGGATAAAAAACAAGAGGGAGAGAGAGAGAGAGAGAGAGAGATAAACAACGCAAAAGAATATCGATCTGTTTATCATTAGTTTCACACGGTATAAATCTTATATACGAGTCGATTACATATGTAAAAGATCCATAATATAAAGATTGTTTTTGAAAGATTGTAAAAAATTCATTTTAAAATTGAAATAAATGTCTCATTTTATACGTTAATTTTGGAATTATTTAATAAGGTAATAGATATTAAAAATATATATCTCTAATGTACGGATTTTTTTTTTTTTTTTTTTTTTAACACGATTTAAAAATGTATTGTGGAATTAAAAATATTGTTCATTTTATATGATAATTTTTGATTATTTAATAAGAAATATTTAAAAGACATTTTTCTCTATTAAAAATTATTCTTAATAACTTTAACAAGCTTCATTTTGATAATTATCGTTGAATTGGTTCTCCTCCGTTGATTTATCTTTTATGATAATTCTCGATAATTTTTTTTCTTTTTTTTTTTTTTTTTTTTTGTAATTTAATACATTTGAAAAACACTTATATATATTAAGAATTATTCTTAATTAAATTTAACAAGCTTTATTTTGATATTGAATTGTCGAATCGATCCCTCATCATTGACTTATCCTTCTATGATAATTCTTGATAAATGGTTTTCTTTTTTTTTTTTTTTTTTTTTTTTTATATAATTTAATAAGATATTTAAAATATTTAAAATACATTTTTCTATATAGAAAGATATGTACAAGAATAATTAGAAATTATTCTTAATACATTTAACAAGCCTTAGTTCGATATTAATTATCAACCTGGAATCCTTTATCATAGAATTCTCTTATCAGAACACTCCAGTGCAATATCATACAAACTACTTAAAGGGTTTGTTCCTTAATACTTGAGTAAGGAATCTAGAAAGTTTCTGATGTGCGCATA